CCACCATGGCTCATGATAGTACACTTGGTGTACAACGGTATAATTGTATCGATACATAACTGTCTGGTTCCAATGAGACCTCTTGTCAATATTTCTTGCAAATTCTTTCGATCCGTTAAAACTCTTTTTCTTTTGGATTTTGGATCCAGTCACTCAGGATCGAGAGACATTTGGAAAACAAGGAAACTATTACCAAGAGTATGTTAAATGATTTTAAGCCCTGCATATCAGATGACTACATTATATTTGTTTTATTCTTTTTACTTCAGCTCGATGGTTGTTCCCATTTGATAGACATTATAGAAGAAGAAATTCAAATTTTATGGAGACGAAGATAAAATAACATTAAATTTCACTCCGATGTACAAAAACGAATATTTCGAATACTTTGATTTCACCGATGAATTTGATATTCAAATGATTCATCAACGATATTCACATCGGCGACGACAATAATAGGGAATACACATTCATCATCATATTACCTAATAAAAATATTAAACTATTGGATGTTCCAAAAAAATTAAAAACTATCATCGTTTATTCACTCGTCATTCATTAGGAAAATTAAATACGATAGATCTTTTATTATCGAAATTTCGAATAAAATAACTTGTTGATAGTTTAAAAGATCATTTTACTCGATTAAGCATGAAAGATGCATTTTATTTTATTTTAAAGCTAACTTCACTGGTATATCTTCAGCGAGAATGGGAACAAATCAATTAGTAATAGAAAATATTGTACAAAATTCTATTATCGATGTTAATGAAAATGATGTTGAAGCAGCTAGTGCAAATAGCATGTTGCATGGAATTTTGGGTCTTATAGAAACAATTACATTTATATGCAATAGTCTATCGATTTTTTTAATTCATAATAGGCAAACTTGTACGATATTGTTTGTAGGAAAATATATTTCACCTGAATAAAATGGAAACGCTTTAATCTACAGACAAGAATAGCAAATTTTTTTATGTTCAATAAAAAGAAGAGTCTAATATTACCACAGAGAAAAGAAAGTATTAATTCGATTAAAAAGAGTAATTCAGTCAACGTTTAGCGCTGAAATAGAACTTGTCCGTGATACACGTGCGGGCTCCGAATGAGCCGGAAAAAGTTGGCCCATGGGCTATCTCGCCCTTTACCGGCCTAGCCCAGGGCTTTTAGTTCATAAACTTTCCAGCCCAGCGCGTGGACGGTCCATCTAAAAAACAAAAGATTTTTCCCGAACAAAGCCTCATTTACCATGCTGATCAAGGCTACTTATCTTTTATTCTTCTATTCCATAAGGCCCAATGACAGAGCAGAATAAGACTAAAATACACGAAAAGAATCTAAAAATCGTGTCTAAAAGAGTGAAGACAAGCAGGCGAACATTGAACAAGTATACCAATTTGTAGAAAATTGTTTGCTCTACAAGGTGTGATAGCTTTTTAAGTTCAAAACTATTCTAATTAATCTGTATTATTAATCAAAGAAAAATCAGAAAAACCGTGACGCTATGGCAAAAAACGGTCAAATGTGTATTTATATTTTTAGAAAATTTTTGAGTACGGATCCATGAATTGGTCTGCCCTACTGTCACTCAAGCAGTCTTTTTATTTCTACGTATAAATCTGTTCGTTGTTGAACATTTGAAACCGCAAATTCTACATGAATGTGATGATTCTGACACTGAGTCTTAATATAGGGTGCAAAACTAATGGTTATAACGTCAAACTTTAAACAAGTTTTGTACCAGACATATTTTTCCAGAACGAATCTGCGAAGGACGAAAAGTCAAAAACCAAACACCTCTGGAAAACTTGTTACAGCGTTTCTGCAGTATTTGACTGATGACACCGTTTTTCGCTCCATGGTCCCCTCAAAAAGACTACCATTCAATAGTGAATGCATGTTGCACAATGGAGAAGACTGTTGACACAAGCTCATAGAGGAAAACTAGCAAGAAATACGTCAACAACCCAGGTACAGCACCAGTATCTGAGGGTTTACGTGACTCCCTCATACAGACCACCATTCAATGGAAAACTCAGTTCTGGATGCTGCACGATCACAGAGAGGATTTGCACAAGGGGACTAATATTAGCAAGAAATACATTAAAAACCCGCTTACAGCAGCAGTATTTGAGGGTTGACACCGTTTTACGCTTCATAATAAAGACTACCGTTCGCTAGAGAATTAAGTTCTACATGTTACACAATCAAAGTGACCTTTTACATAAGCTCATGGACAAAAATCAGCCAGAAATACCTCTAAAACCCAGGTACAGAACCAGTATTTGATGGTTGCACCATTTTTCGCTCCATTATCCCATCATTTACACTACCATTCGATAGAGAATTAGGTTCTGCATGTTGCACACTCAAGGAGAGGGTTTGCACAAGCTCATGGACGAAAATCAGCGAGAAATGCCTCAAAAACCAACGTACAGAGGCAGTATTTGAGGGTTGACACCGTTTTTTCCTGCATGAGTCCCCCATAAAGACTACCATTCGACAGAGAATTAAATTCTGCATGTTGCACAATTGCAGAAATGGTTACACAAGCTCATGGACGAAAATGAGCAAGAAATACTGAGAAAACCCAAATGCAGCATCAGTATTTGATGGTGGACACCGTTTCTTGGTCCGTGGTGCCGTCATAAGGACCACCATTCGATAGAGAATTAAAGTCTGCAGGTAGCACAATCAAAGAGAGGGTTTACACAAGTTGATGGACCAAAGTGGGCCAGAAATACCTCGAAATTCCAAGTGCAGCACCTGTATTTGAAGGTTGACGCCACTTTCCGCCCCATGACGAAAGACTACCATTCAATACAGAAATAAACTCTGCATGTTGCACAATGTAGAAGAGGGTCTACACAAGCTCATACACGGATATTCGCAAGAAATACCTCCAAAACCCAAGTGCAGCACCTGTATCTGAGGGTTGTCACCATTTTCCGCCCCATGATCCTTTCATAAAGACTAGCATTAAATAGACAATTAAGGTCTGCATGTTGCACAATTGAAGCGAGGGTTTTCACAAGCTCATGGACCAACATTACGAAGAAATACCTCGAAAACCCAGGTACAGAACCAGTATATGAGCGTTGACACCGTTTTTCGCTCCATGATTTCCTCATAGAGACCAGCATTCGATAGAGATTTAAGTTCTGCATGTGTTGCACTATGAATGCAAGGGTATATACAAGCTCATGGATGAGTTTGAGCAAGAAACACCGCGAAAACTCAGGTGCCGACCCAGTATTTGAGGCTTGACACCGTTTTTCGCCCCATGATCTCCTCATAAAGACTGTCATTCGATAGATAATTAAGTTCTGCATGTTGCACAATCAAAGAGAGGGTTTACACAAGCTCATGGACGAGTACTAGCAAGAAATAAATCTAAAACCCAGGTACAGAACCCAGCATTTGAGGGTTGCAACCTTTTTTCGCTTCATGATCCCCTCATAAAGACTACCATTCAATACAGAAATGAACTCTGCATGTTGCACAATGGAAAGTAGGGTTTATACAAGTTCAGAGGCGATTGTTAGCAAGAAATATCTCTAAAACTCAAGTGTGGCACCAGTATTTGACCGTTGACACCATTTTTCGCTGTATGATCCCCTCATAAAAACTAACATTCAATAGAGAATTGAACTCTGGACGTTGCACAAGCAAATAGAGAGTTTACACAAGCTGATAGACGAAAATTAGCAAGAACTATGTCTAAAACCCAGGTGCAGCGCCCGTATTTGAGTGTTGAGACCATTTTTCGCTGCATGATCCCCTCATAAAGACTACCACTCGATAGAGAACTTAGTTCTGAGAACTAAGATACGAAAAGGTACATGTTCTCACAAGGAGCAAACATGCTTTATTTTGGCTTCTACAAAATGTTTGCGAATTCAAGATAGAGGTTGGTCTAAGTACTTTCGTTTATTGTTCCTCACGCTACGGTGTTCGTTATGTTTTAGCTTGCGTAGAATCGACTGCCTTAATTTTCGGCAATGAGGGAACTTGACTTTCAGCGAAGTGATGTGCTGCCGTACGAAGCGATTTTCGGATTGCGGTAGTGATTGGTGGCAGCGTATCATTTAGGTGAATCTGTAGAGAACATTGTCGTTGCAAATCGAGTCTTTTTTGTTGAGCAATTACGACTGGTTTTGAATGCCATTTCTTTCGATTCTTAATAACAGGTCTTTTGCAATCGTTGTCAATTGAAAATTGAATAACTGCATTATTGAGACTTTTAGATTCTCTCACAATAGGAGCCATAGGGACGAGTGGTGAGTCTGCAGGATCATTTCTCTTTTCCGATTTTGCCTTATCATTGAAGTAATTTTGCACCCATTGATGTTTGATCTCTTCTTCCTCCTTTTGTCTCGCCACAAGCACCGCTAAATCGCGGAAGCTTTGGCTGTTTGCTGCAAATGAATATCCAGTCAAGAGTTTCTCAACTTCCTCATCACTAAATGATTCGAACCATTCACTAGGGATCACCTAAGACAAATAGTGGTTCAAAACCATTAAGTAAAGATCTAATAAAGATGTAAATTTTGTTCTATAACTTACATCATTGATTCCCATACGTATTTGAGTCAGCTGTTTCTCTACGGGTTCTATATAATGGTTATACAGTAACTGCCTCACAGCTGTTAAATTTCCGTCAGTCTGTGCTTGCTCCATTTTCAGATAAAGTTTTTCATTGAAAAAGCGCAACTCTAAAAGATCAAGTGTCAATGGCCTATTTAAAATTATTCTATAGTAATAGAGCGGAAATCTAAGTTGTATAGGACTGGCTTGACATGCCATCATTGCAATACACCGTCCTAAAAGTCTAAACACAGAAAAAAAAAACTTAAAAGTCTTTTTTCTCGCAATAGCAGTGATTTTTTTACCGAAAACAAATATTACGCTGAGTCAAATGTGAGTCAATTGTCCAATAAGAGTAAGAGTCATGGCTGGTCGCCAGATCTAACCGTTCAATAATTCCTAAATGAAACCAGGTGAACCAAACTATATCGTTCATCCTGCGAACCTCTTGCTCTAAAAGAAAAAACAGGTGCAACATATTCTTAGATTAAACAAATAAGACTGCTATATCAAAGATATGATTTCCCTCAGTTCGAAATCTTTATAATTCATCTGTACGTACCGTAACAGTACAATATTTTTACGTTTCTTCGACGGAATTCAAATGGCTGTAACTTCATTATTTCTATAAGCGAACTTCTAACTAAGTCGTCTATATAGACATTTATCATCAATTCGCCCGAAGTTCTATGCATTTCCAGCAGCAATCGAAATGAATCGGTACTCTAGAAAGTATGTAAGACGAAATTTTATCTATTCGGAAACTGTGTTACTGATTATAGATATGAGACGAACAGATAGTGGCATAACCACGAATTAGATCTAGGATAGCTCTCACCAGAAGTTTTTCGTATTCAGTCAAAGGTCGAGTGTCCATTTATGGAATTACGGGGGAGTTAGAATATTATCACTGCTTTTGAAAGATGTGATGTGACTTTCTTCGTTGTCAACGCAATCAGGTGTTGGTTTCTCTAATTTTAGAGAAACACTAGACTCCATTTTATCCCATATTGGAGATTTTCTTCTAATTTTTAGAGATTTTATATCAAAAGTTGAAGAAAACTATTAAAAATTTCGTCTCCTTCGGCGATATACTGGGAAATATTTAGTGGCACCTTTCCTTCACAGTCATGAATCAAAGACAACTCTCACACGTGTTTTTGACAAGATTAACCATCTATAAATATCCGTCTATCAGGTGCAGATGAAAAATCAAAAATTTTTTAGGATGGGCTCCTCTCACATAGCGAGTTGTGCCACTACGAACAGAACAGTTCGAAGTCAAAAATATTATTATTTACTTTGACACTCTCTCCCAGCAAAAAAGCCGCTAGTAATTCATACTGAAAAACGATCTCTGAATTTTTGAACCTGAACTTTCGGAGTTGAATCTAAAGGATAAAAGTCGCAAAACCAGGCTTTCTCCAAAAAAAACTTTTTCTTCAAAGTCCGAAAAGGCTTCTTTCAGGGCCAAAAACTCAGGAAATGCTTTCTAGTACTAATCATACTAAAGTAGACATTTTAATTCGTGAAAATCCCAAGGGGGAAACACCGTACTCCGCTAGCTCCGTCACTCCGCGGAGTTTAACCGGAGTGGACGGAGTAGTGAAGTGATCCGTGGTGACGGAGTGACCCTGGAATGAACGGAGTATGATGCTTTCCATTGACGTGCTTTGCTTTCTCAAATTCTGTTTTCATCTGTAGCATTGTTTAGCTCCCATTGTTCCTATCCTCCTAATGCTCTTATAGTTTCTATAGTTCTGAATATTCCTAGGACATTAGAACAAGGCGGAAACAGAGACTCCACTTGACTCCACATGACTCCTAACAGCATATGGAGTCAGGGACCTAAAACGGAACACTAGTGTTCAGTCTATTTGAGCATGCTTTTCCACAACAGGACACTTTTGTTCCGAAATTCAAATGAATTTCCCAAATACAAGAACAAATGTGTTACATTTTGGGAAATATTCTCCCAAAAAAGAGCATTGTTTCTCCTTTGTTAGGGAAAATTCCCAAAAATGCAACATTTTTGTTCGTATATGTGGGAAATTTGTCCAATATTTAGAACAAGTGTCCTGTTGGGAAAACAAATCTAAAAAGGGCTGAGCTTTAATGTTGTGTTATTGAGAAATTTTTCACAAGAAGGCAGATCTATCATTCCATTTCTGGGAAATAAATGGGTTTAAGCAGCAGAAGTATTAGGTCTTCGAAAGCCTCCAGTAGACTCCAGTGCATCCCATACAACTTCAACAGGTTTCATAAGACTAGAGACTGATGGAGTCTGCTGTTTTCCTCTTGAGATGACTACACTTGACTTCATGTGACTCCAAGGGACTGGAGCCCACTGTTTCCCCGTTGCATTAGAAACTACGCGCACTAAAGGAACTACGGGAACTATGGGAACATTGGGGATTATGGGAATTGTGGGAACACTGGGAACTGCTATTATTATCGCTTCTTTCAAGAACTTGGATTGTTAGCATTCATTAGTGCTCTGCATACTATTCCCGTATCAACAAATGCGAGAGAAAAGAGTTATAGCAGCTGTCACTCCGTCACTCCGGAGTGACGAAGTGAACCGGAGTGGAAGTTCACTCCGCGGAATAGTGGAATATGGAGTACGGTGTTTCCCCCTTGGAAAATCCGGTGTACGCAAAATGTTTTTCGCTCCACGAGCAAAAATACGAAATTTTTATGTAACTTCCGCTGATAGGAAACAATAAAATTTTTGTATTGGAGAGCTGCAACCCCCTCCCCCCCTCCTACACACACAAAATTTGGAACCGTGCTCATACCTAATAGCAACGAATCGTTTGACTTACCTTAATGTATCTACTATTCCATTGTATAGTCTTGGAGTGTTCGTCAACAAAATATTCACGTTGGTCTTTGGTGAAGTTTAAGCCTTCAAGCATACAATTGCTTAAAGCTAAAAACGTGGAAGTATTACAGTACAGATGATACCTCAGCTGCTATTCTTCCTAAAACAGTGATGTCGGTGACTAGCATATAAATTTATTCAGCATCGAGTAAAATAACAAAGCGCCTTTGGTGAGTGAAGTCTACCCATGAAATTTGTAATGCTAAACCAGGTGCGTGCTATTTGTGGCACTAACCCTCGGTGTCATTTCGAGTGGCAAAAAACTTCACCGACATAAGTGTTAATTTTGGTAGCAGGATGAATTCATATGATACCTGCTGCATTACAGCGAGGTCTGCCGCCAATAACGAGGAATACATTTTCTGATAGAATTGCGCTGATTCCAACGGCGAAAACCATCGCTCGCGATCGGTGTTAGAAAAATAGTTAGAGGCAAGCTACTCTACCGCTCGTTAAACGCTCATTAAAATGGGACATCAGCCAACTTTCGAAGGCGTTTCAGTGAGATAGTGAAGCTAAAATGCGCAAAGAGTAAACATCGCACGCGAAATTGAATGGCTTCCTCTCGCCCTTTCGTAAAAACACTCTAATTCCTGAGTGGAACATTTTCGAAAAGGCTGATATCTCATTTTAATGAGCGTTTAACGAGCTATCGATGTATCAGGCCACAGAAATGTTTGGGTTCATTTTAGACCAAAATGAAGGTTCTGCGAAAGGGATAATGACCCAAACAAACTGGAACTAAATGGCCGCTTTTGCTGAGAAAACCACATTTCTGTAGGTAGAGTAGCTTGCTTCTAACCATTTTTCTAACTCCGATCGCGAGCGATGGTTTTTGCCATTGGAATCATCGAAATGCTATCAGAAAATGTATTCCTCGTTATTGGCGACAGACCTCGGTGTAATGTAGCATGTATGGATTCATCCCGCTACCAAAACCAACACTTATGTAGTAGGTATCATATGGATTTGCCGCTCGGCAAATTTCAGATTTTTGCAAGCGTCTGAAATGAGATCTCGAATGGGAAAAATGTGGCGTATAGTTAAAGTTTTGGCGATATGTTTGATTTTTTCAAGTTGATAAGCCAAATGCAACTTTGATCTTTGCAAAAAACCAATACTTTTTATAAACAACCATATGGAAGTGCCCGAAATTAATTCCTGGGCAGAAGTGATTTTTTTCATTTTTTTTCTAATTTCTCTTTCATACTCACCTCCGTTAAAAGACAAGCAGACACTTTCGTAGAGATTTTTCCATTCCAATATATCATGTTGAACGATACTTTCCACAGACGGGCTATGATTGTAAATCAATTAGTTGTGGCAGAATTACATTATTTTGTGGATTTTCGAGGTTATCTGTTATTTTAAGGTAGCTATACCATTGTAGGCGTTGAGCTAAATGATAAATTGTAGGTGGTTCCCAAGTAACATGGTGGCTATGGTGATCCATGTAAAAAATTCTCTTTGGAAATGAATTATCTAATCGTGCTTCCCATCCAGAAGCCGGCTGTGGATCTGCGCGTATCTTCAAAAAATGTATTACAAATTTTGCGTTAAAAACGCTGAAGTTTTACCACTACGTGTGTCGTCAGTGCAAACTGCTAACAAAATAGCTTCACTTTCCTGTACTGCAACGGTTTAGACACAGTTTCTATCTGACAAAGCGTAATAATTTACTTTCAGCACGACCGTGAGCATAACAAAATATATTTCAGCACCGGCATGTATTATTTTATTACCAAAAGCTGCTACCGCTGCTTAAACATGCACATGTTAGCTCTAGCATTTAGAAAAAAGGAAACAGAATTGACTGACCGGTTGTTTATGTGCCCTCAGCTGATAAGTGCGTCTTTCTTGTTCAATTATTATTGGAAAATCTACAATAGAGAAATGTATGTGAGTACAAGTCAGTTGCTGATCGTGTCAGCCTTACTCAGTATTGATGAACTTCGCAACATTTGATTAAATGTTTCTGAATCAGTTTGTGAAATTGTCTGTTTACGTACTTCCTCAGTTACTACAGTATAACCTTCGGGTGCTTCATCTGACATTTTGGTGAAATGAAAATCCTGTGTTGGGTCTTCATCGAACATGGACATGATCGGTGGGGCATCATTGTACAAAAGGTTCACAGCGTGCTGCATATATTTCTGTACATCATTGAGCGTTTCATCATCATCTTCTTTCGTGTCGTGTGTAATCATGCCATTATTTCTAGTATCTCCTATCGATTCAGAAACTAGCGGCTCTGACAAATTGTATCTTGTTATTGCGAAGGCTGGAAGCAGTTGATCGATAAAATCTAACTGTGGAAGATTTTGCGTGACTTGGTTATTATTTGGGAAGCTTTGATCTGTAACACGTTCATCCATCTCTTTAATCTTGAGAAATGATGTCATTAACTGAAAAAAATGGAATGGTGTTTTATTAGTTTGAATTGGACAGTCATTATCGTCATCATATTCCGGAAACAATACTGATAATTGCTGAGATGGCGTGTCGACGAACAGTTTTTGCCAACGTTGCCAATTACACAGTACTGGATTATCCCAAACTACCATACCAAGAAATGGAAGACACACTTGCAAGTGGAGATAAGAGTCTAAGTCAAAGTTGGTACCTAAATCGTCGTCCGGCATAGATCCACCGGTGATTTTCCTAGCCAAAGATTTGCAATCTTCTCGAAACTCTGGATGGTTGGTGAACGCCATAATATCATCATACAGCTCTTCTGAGTCTTCTAGTTCATTTTCAACGTAAAACTCTTCTTCCGTAGGACTAGGATACCGAGCATCTCTAAGATTAACATCATTTTGCAGAATTTTATAAATATTGTTCAGATATGTATTCGAAAACCCATCGAGAACGTTCAGGTGTTCGATAAAATAATGTGCACAATATCTAGAATGAGAAACAGACACAGTGTGCATTCTTTTTATAGAGCAGTTGGAAAAGAGGTTTTAATGTTCGCAAACTACTTAATTTTGTCATTAAGCTAACGTCGGCGCTCAAGGCAGCTGAGATAAGCATTAGAAAAAGATTTGGAAAAAACAAGACTTTTTATTAGAAAAAGCCCTTGACGTAGACTTTTCCGTTCGCTCGAGAAGAAAGGCCCGCCAAACCCTAAAACCGTTTCTCTATTTCTTTTTTTCTGCTTTCTCTCCGTCTGAGAAATTTCGGAAAAGGACTCATGAGGAACGCGATCCAAGTAATACATTCGATTTTCGTTCGTTCATACGTTATTCGATAGACGACATGAAGCCCATCAAAGACAAACTTTTATCTCTCAACAACTTTTCTTTGCCTGTGTTACAGAGGTTTTTCCTACTTTCCTAAGGAAAAACAGCGAAAATAAGTTAAAAAACGCATAACTCCATCTACAGAAAAGTCGTAGAGGGCTTAAATAATAAGTAATATAAATTTTTATGATCAGTATTGTTAGGATCCAGGAGAGATCCTAAGATAGAAGAACACAGCCCGGTAGTGTAATGGTAGTACGTCCGACCGGTAATCGAAAGGTCTGGGGTTCAATGTCTCAGTCGGGTACTGGTCATTTTCCTGTTCTGTCGTGATATAACATCTCGCTGGGTGACTACGGAGTGTAACAAGCATCCCAGGTATTGTGGCTACGCACAAAAAATTTCAGTTTTTTTTCTCGTTTTCTTAGTGAGTTATGGAACTTTTGCTGAGTATATCGGTAATTCATCAATCAGATCATATCCAATAAATGGCTCACACAAGTCGTTAATACTTGACTAAATGACTCAAACTTACAGAAATGAGAGGCATTCCAATTTGTCAACCACCCGTATCTGCAGTTCTGATCCTTGAAGAACTCCAGTTTTGGGCGGATCCCTAGATAACTATGTCGGCTATCGGATACCGTGTGAACGAACAAAAACGAAGGGTATCACTTGGATCAAGTTTCGAGAGAGAGCGTTTTTGCGACGTTAAATCAGCCATCATTCTACGCATAGTGACCCAACGAAAATTACGATGTAGCGAACTTACCATTTTCGGTTTAAAGAAAGTCCACCCTACCAAACGATTGAAGACATAGATGACTACCATCAACTCGAGCAGCACTAGAAATTAAACTCACCTTTGCTTCAGCTTCTCACACACGTACGTAATCCACCGTTTTCCTATGCGTTCAGCCACGATTTGATCAGTTTGATGAACGTAAGTGGTTGTTGCACTATGAATACTGTCAAAGTTATATATCTCACACATCCATAGAACGGTTGTTTTAACGAAATACGATGTTAAATATTCTTCTTCCCCTGATGCAAAGGCACTTTTATGTAAGTATCGGTAAAATATACCTCTGGCTACACGATTCAATATCTGTTCAAGAGGTGTACGTAATTCGGCTAGTTTATTTTCGATTAGCGAAAACGAATAGCGAAATTCTAAATTTTCGAATTCTGTAGGCGTTTTCTGTGACCATTTTGAAATCAAATGCATATGAAGTGGCTTAATTTCTTCATATATTAATGGTCGATTTTGTTTCAATCGATTGAGAAACCAGTGCATATCATTAGGCCAAAATTTGAGCTTTAAAGCTGGAACCCAGTCCATATTTGTCAGTGGTACACTTTTTAGTTTTGTGCTAAAAAGCTTTTCTGCGTATTTTTTATACTTAAAATAAAATTCAAGAATTATTTCAGCTTTTTCTCGGTGAAAACGCGGTAGACGATAGCCAAATGCCGGACTCATAAACGAATAGCAATCTTTGTAATAGTCTCGATCCTTTAGGATGGGTGGAGCTGCTTGTCTCATTAGGGGTACAATTGTTTCAATCATTATTTGAGTGTCTGTTACAACCTGATGAGCAAAATTATTCGTTTTTTGTTCATTCGGCAGTTGCCGTTGAAGTGCTTCAGTATAGTCTAACATCTTAGAAGCAGAACATGGTGCATGTTCGAAATTAAATTCTGGCAATAATTCAACACTGGCTGTGTGTGCTGCCGTGGATGTTACGCCAGAGTTTGATCTAAGATATGCTTGCTGTAAATACTTCTCTGACATCAGAAGAATCTTTTCCTTTAGTTTAAATCCATTGACAAAACCGTTATCGTTTGAAATTTCAAAATCAGGTAAATAAATCTTTGATACAGATTTAAGAAGAACGAATCCCGGAACATTTGAAATACGTACAATCTGATCGGCTGATTCAACGTTTCCAAATTCAAACATAAAATCTACATCTTGCAGTTTTTTATCAGCACGAAATCGATTAGCTGATGCTTGACCCTTCACAGAACTACCGGAGACAATAATCTTGAAGTATTCAGTCATAGTAAAGTTAACACTGGTATGCGACAAAGAGAATGTCTTTTTAAATCAGAAATAATAAATGTTAAGTATGAGTGATACCGGGCAATAAAAAACTCTTCAGATATTCTCTCTTTCTTTCATATAAAAAATGTAAATTCTTTGGGGAAGGCCCGCAAAACGGCAAGGATGAGATAAGGAAAGAGAGAGGAAAAGAAGAACACCAATATACCCTTTTTATACGGAAAAGAATAATAAATTACGTGAACACAGGCGTGCACGTGGTTTCCGGACTGTAAAGTGCCAAAATTCAGCCTAACGGAGCGACACTCAATAGGCAGATAAATAGATGGATAATATTGCCAGACTGGTCCCTGTAAGAATTATACAGTCATGTAAATAAGAATTAATATTACGTAATCTGTCGAAATTCTGACAAAATCCGCCACCGAATATTAGTTTGATGATATTAAAATTTCTAGTTCATCTCCAGTCTTAAGAGACTTGATGGTTTTTAGCAATATGAGTGAAATTTGGTCAACTGCAATAAAGCGAAATTTTTTTCGGCCATCCTAGAAACATATTTTCCTGATGTAGTTTTCGACGGAGAACATGAAAACAAAACGTCCAAGATCCTCTAAGGTAAGATGTTCGAGTTCTACATTCGTTTTTGAGAAATAGCGGATTTTATATTGGAAAATTTCTAGTGTTTTCGACTTTTTGACCGTAAAACCGAAGAACACCAATATACCAATATATCTAAGTAAGGTGCCTGCAATTCAAAACTTAAGGAAAAACTTTTTTCGTCAATATTTATATATGGTTAAACCCAGCTGCTCGAACTGAATCTGAATGTGTGTGTTACAAGATTTCAAATCAAGTTTTTACGGTCAAAAAGTCGAAAACACTAGAAATTTTCCAATATAAAATCCGCTATTTCTCAAAAACGAATGTAGATTGTTGTATGAAATTGTTGTATATGGAAGGTAACCTGTCGGGCAAAAATAATTCAGGCGCTTTAAAATATTCTTCCGTAACGGTCGCTGAAGTTGCTGTTGGTGGTGTAAATGATTAAAGGAACGATGTTTGGGAAGGATGTGTTTGGGTAAATTTGGACCAAGTCAAAACAACAGCTCGTTCTTTACATCTTTATTGACTGAAAGTCGTGTTTGTTTAAAACCTCCTTCTTTTGTCACCATCTCCCCGTCGTATCTGGCATCGCAAATTAAGATAACGGATCC